AGGAGAATGGAGGAGAAGGGATTGCGGCGTGACCATTCCCCCTGGGGGGTGATTTCTCGCTTTCTATCTGTCTCTCTCTGTCTGTCTGGAGAGCGCACACGCCCTATAGCAAAAACGCCTGCCTCTGCAGGTCCAACCACGCATAAACTGGCCCCACTTCTTTCCCTCCACCACCCCCAACTCCCCACATAGCACCAGTGCAAGAGCTGATCTTGACCGCCTCTCCCACGCCAGTCATCCCTCCTTCTACATCTCTTAGTGCATGCCCCCGCATACTGGTACACTGTGTACTAGCACTCCGACCCCAGCTAGCGCTCCCTCTCCATCGTCCTGACCCTCTTCTAGCACCCTGGTCCAGCCACCCCCTCGCTGGCTGACTCACACTTCCTCAGTCTCCATGCCCTCCGCTGAGCAACTGCAGACCAATCTCAGAATAGCTGCCAGGCATCAATATGATGAGCACCTTAAGCTTCATTTTATTCTTAGGAAAAACATGTTGCCTGCCACTCTCTCTCCTCCCTCAAGAGATTCCTGAGAGATGTTTTTTCATCTATGGAATATTTCATTAAGCAGGAGATAGGCATGTTTCCAGGTAATTTGCTCCACTCACTGCACAATGTATACGTATTTCAAACGTCATGTTGTACATAATAAATATGCAATTTCATCTCACAATGGAAAAGGAACTTAGTTTTTAAAAAAGAATGTTTGCAGGTCTATAGTTAACAGTTAAGGGGCCAGCAGTTAGCGTAGTGGCTATGTCGCTGGACTCCCACGTAGTCGACCGCGGTTTGAGTCCGGGACCTGGTGGCTTAAATTCACGCCGGGCGCGTATGCGTGCGTGCCCAAGATCCTGAGAGGAGAATGGAGGAGAAGGGATTGTGGCGTGGCCATCCCCCCTGGGAGGTGATTTCTCGCTTTCTGTCTCTCTGTCTCTGTCTGTCTGGTGAGCACACGCGCCCTATAGCAAAAACCTCTCCAAAAAAAAAATTAAATAAATAAAGTTAACAGTTAAATGAGAGGCAGAGCCCAGCCACTTCACACCTTCCCAGTACTGCGTGTCTTTTCTCAGATCATGCATCTCTTACTAGAAAGCTACAGTACGACGATGGTGAAGCCTCCTAGGAAATGCTGTCACCTGACATTGGGGCAGTAATCAGAGAGGGAAGTGTGGTATGTGCACACGGTAGAATGCTATTCAGCCATGAAAGGGTGAAATCCCGGCACTTGTGGTGATGTGGGTGAGCCTGGAGGGAACTATGATAAGTAAGATAAGCCAGGCACAGAGACACAAATAGCACATGCTCTCATTTATTTGTGGAAACCAAAACTAAAATAAATTACCCAATTCATTTCAGAAAGATGTGTCTTTATTAACATGTAATAATTGTACATAATTGTGGGGCACAATATGATTTTACAGCACAAGGCTACAATGTGTAATGAATCATTCAGGAGGATTAGCATACCCATAATCTCAACCACTTGTTCTTACTTCTGAAGCTAAAAACTTCTACTGCAAAGGTGAAGGGATTCAGCTCCGTCGCTTTCCCTCTCTCTCTCACTCTCTCTTCTCTCTCCAACGAGTGCACATGCCCAATAGCAAAATGAAAGGAAAAAAAGTTCATTGAAAACTGAAACTAATCGCACATTTCCTTGCAAACTTCTTGAAAACCTCTCCTATTGGAACATGCACTCACCAAAAGTAGGGGACAAAAGGGCAAAAAGACATCCAACCCAAAGTGCTTGCCAGGATCTCAAATGTTAGCTGTCGTGCTTACTTTTTCACATGCAATCTCTGGAGGAGGGGCTGGTTGGGGGCACAGCCACAAAATTACAATGCCCCGCAAGGCGAACTCACATGGAAAGGTTGCTGATTCCTACCCAGCCCTCCCTGAGTGCCCAGGTCACATGCCCACGATCCAGGTCTGATTGCACTAGGGGTGGGTGGTGGCATCAAGACCCTGATTGCGGGGTGCACCCTCTAGTAATATCTCAGGAAGCATTCCATGGATAGAATGCATCTGTCACAAAGAAACCATGCAGCCTGAGCCACAGCCTTTGTCAGCCAGAAGAGGGTCCTGGTGACACACAGTGTAAGACCTCTTCGCCATACCAAATAAAGGCTGTTACTCTGAGCTCCACACTCTGTTCCGTGAGGCTCAGCTCAATTGTACAAGGGTATCTCTGGGTCTGAAACTAGCTAAGCCCTCAGTTTCCCTTCTATTGAGGAAAAATGGCAATTGCCCAAAGTAAAAATTCGGAACAGAACTAAATATGTAAGCTGCTTGGGATGAGAGGTCAACTTACATTTTAATGGCACTACGCAAGACTTGGGACTCTATCCCATCCCATATCCAGAGTGCTTTCCAGGGTGTGAACCCCACAAGATGGAGGTTTGTTACCTAAGGGCCCACCAATGGAGAAAGTCAAGGAGGCGATCGTGCCCTGTTGAGCTGACGATTGAACTGATCACATATTTGAGACTACCTTCCTCCCCCTGCCCCTTAATTTTGCCCTTAAAAACGTGTGCTTGTAGGGCCAGCAGGCAGCATGGTGGTTAAGGCACTGGACTCCCAAATGGCTGATCATGGTTTGAGTCCCAGATATCTCTCCCCCCACCTCCAGTGAGTGCATCGCCCAATAGCATATAGTAATGATAATAATAATAAATAAGATACTTTAAACATGTATGCTTGGAACTGGGCTCTTTCAGCATCACTGCCAGCTCTCCTTGCTTGGCACATGGCAATAAAGCTGTACTTTGCTTCATCATAAAAGATAAATACCTTTCACTTCATAGGAGAAAAGAGTAGAATGGTGGTTACAAGAGGCCAGGAAGGGTAGGGGCTAAGAGAGAGAAGGAGATATATGAGTTGAGAACACAAAACCAGTTAGCTCTAGGTTTGGATAGCATAGTTGGGTGACTAGAGGTAAAACAATATATTCTACATTTCAAAATAGCCAGAAGAATTTTGAATGCTCTCAAAGTAAATGTCAAGATGTCTGAAGTGACGGGTATACGAATTACCCTGATACTGAGCATTACACAGGGTATTCATGCATCAAAAAATCACACTGAGGGGCCGGCAGGTGGTGTGGCGGTTAGCCATATGGCCAACTGTGCTTCAAGTCCCGAACCTGGCTGCTTGCTTTCTCACTTTCCCTCTCCCTCTCTCTCACTCTGTCCCTCTCTGGTCAAATTAAAAATAAATAAATAAAATTAAATAATTCTTTTTAAAAATCACATGGAGGGCCAGTAGGTGGCATGCTGCTTGTGGTGCTCCCATATGGTCAGATGCAGTTCGAGTCCCAGACCTAGTGGTTTGTTTTTTCACCTTTCCTTTCTGTCTCTCTCTGGTCAAATTAAAAAATAAATAATAGTAACAAATAAAATTAACTAGTTCTTTTAAAAAAAATCACACTGTACCCCATAAATATGTACAATTATTGTATCATTAAAAAATCATATAAGAAAAATATACATTGTAAAGGAAATTTTTTAAAAAGGCCAAATTGGGGCCGGCAGGTGGCGTGGTGGTTAGGGGCGCTGGACTCCCACATGGCCGACCATGATTCAAGTCTCAGACCTGGTGGCTTGCTTTCTCACTTTCCCTCTCTCTCACCGTCTCACTCTGTCCCTCTGTGGTCAAATTAAAATAAATAAATAAAGTTGAATAAAATAATTCTTTTTTAAAAAAGGCCAAATAAAGCGTCATAGACTCTGTTATGTAACAACCATAAGAAAGGATTAAGACTGGACTGTCCCAAAACACATCTGTGCGGACACCATCAGCCAGGTCCTTATGTAAGTTTGTGTTTGATCCCCAGTTCAGAGTTGAGCACTTCTCCCATTTGCATAGACGAGCAACTTGAGGCCCCTGGCTAAATAACTTACCCCAGGAGGCCTGGCCAGGAAGTGGGAAAACCACATGAACCCAGGTCTGAGGCTAATCTGGACTCTGCCCCCAGTGTTTCTCAAGGAGCAGTCCCAATGCACAAGACTTGCCTGGGGGACATGGCAAGGTCCATATCCTAAGCCCCCAGGTCCTCCAAGATGCTAGGGTCCAGGAATGTAGCCTAGGGTCAGGCTTCCTTAATATGTTTCCCAGGCTGCCAGTTGGAATATAGGACACCCAGGTAAATTCTTTTTGTTTTTCTTCAAATAATTATTTATTATTATTTTGAATTTCACCAGAGAGAGACAAAGTGAGAGAGGGAAAGGAAAAGTGAGAAAGCAAGCCACCAGGTCCGGGACTCAAACCATGGGCAGCCATGTAGGAGTCCAACACTTTAGCCACCACACCATCTACTGGCCCCCACCCAGGTAAATCTTAATTTCAGAATAAGGACAGATAAACAACCAAGTCCAAATGAGATATACGTATAGTAAGAAAACTCAATTGCTGTTGATCTGAAATTCAAATATACCCAAGTGATCTTTGTATATTAGCTAAAGCAGGCATCCTCTCCGCTGGGGACCAAGATGCCCCCAGCAGTTTGAAACCTGTTTCCTCCCTCTCTAAATGCACATGAACTAGCCTCCAGGCACCACTGATCACTTTCCATTTCCCCTCACCTTTTCCTAGAGACTTGAGTGTCATCTACCATGGCTTTCCTTGCAGACAGTCCTATGCAGACCCAGGAGGCAGCTGGGGGCCCACTTGGGCAGGTGGCCCAATGTTTGTGAGATGCGATAAGCAAAGAAACTCTCTAGAGGATGCTGAGCCTGGCCTACTGTCGGAATGGCTTGGCTCGGTGTCCAAGCATGAATTACCAGGGTCTACACCTTGTCAAAACTATTTTTAAGGCATCATTGAAGCTTAGGCAAAGTGGAAATTCTACTAGCTTTACAAGCCCAAGTCAAGAAACCATTCATGCCAGGAAACTGGCAAGGATTAGTCTGTTTTCTGTCCACAGGCTTATACGGAGCTGTGATCTACCAGGCTGTCTTCAACAGAATGGTGCAGGCTAAAGAATTCATCCTTTGAAAACAAAAGCACAAACTAAGAAACATTTTATTTTTAAGACAAAACCAATAGCATTAACACACACCCAAATGCCAGTGCAAGAGTTCACTGGGGCTCACAAAAGAGAAAAGTGTACTGAGGTGTCAGTGAACAACTGGAACCACTGCTCGTGGTGATAGGGGGCCAACATGTGCTTGTCAAGGAAGGCGTTCTGTGTCTGCACAGAAGTGGAAATGCAGAACAAGAGTGAAGCAAGGCAAGACAGAAGGGCAGGTGGGCAAAGCTTCAAGACCCTTTCCTCCAGTCTAATGCACTCTCGTCTGTTTTTGAAAAGTAAAGCAGTTGGCAGGTCATTTTACAAAAAAAACTGGACTATCAAAGAACACTTGCAAAAATCTAGACTAGATCCGAGGTCGCTACTAAAGTTATACAAGGAGGTCGGTGGGGGGACAGTTGGTGTTCTCCAAGCCAGATTTCACACGACGACAGGCACTAAATCTAGGCAGATATGCTTGCGGCCGGAATGAAGCCGCTCGTCTAATAAAGGCTGGTCTTCTTCATGATGCGCAGGAACTCTTGCTCGTTGACTTCCCCATCGCCATCTCGATCAGCCTCATCGATCATTTCCTGCGTGACAGGGACGACGCAGGTTAGATTCGTTCACAAAGTAAACTGACAGGTGAGTAAGCAATAGGCTTTTACTACTGCTGTTGGGTTGTTGGAAAAGTCATGATGTATTTTTTTCTATGTTTTTCTACGCAAAAATGCATCATGACTTTTCTGACAATGTCCTACATGATTAAACAACTGCAGTCCACCCAGTGCAAATGTGCCATTTTATTTTAGAAATCTCAGTTCCTGAAAAGAATTTGAAAATCAAGTCATGGAAAGGAGCTCCAAGATTATTTTGCCTAGAGGGTGTCCTGAAACCTAAAATAGTAAGTAAAATTGTATATACGTGCATTTTTCTGGAAGCAGAAAATAGCTACGTCAGCCCCTGAAAGGAAAACGAAGTTGTCAGCAGAGGGACAAGGGTAAACCCGCTGTCCTTCAGAAGAGGTGTGCACACCAGGGATGGCGTGGCTCAGGAAAGTCCCAGAGAGCTCAGGGTGCAGTCTTGTCATCCCAGCCGGCTACATTACACACCTGCAGCTCCTCATCAGAAAGGTTCTCGCCCAGCTCCTTGGCCACACGCTTCAGGTTTTTGAATGATATCGTCCCAGTTTCATCGTCATCGAAGAGCTTGAATGCTTTCAGAATTTCTTCTTTGGTATCTTTCTCAGACTTAACAAGCAGAACAGAAAACTTTTTTCAAAACATGCCCCAAGTTCTTGTGTCCTGCAGCCCCACCACTGCCCAGTCAACCTCTCTTTAGCAACACAGTAACTCAAGTCCAGACTTCGGGCAAATGTGAGGAAGTCCCTTGTTACTTTGGACCCAAGCCAGGCAAGTCAGGCTCTCCAACCCAAGGGTGTAAAATAGGCTGATTATGTTAATTAACTTACCATTTTCTGAGTCATCACAGTCAAAAAATCACTAAAGTTCATCTTTCCTGTCCCTTCTTTATCAATTTCGCTGATCATTTTCTTGATCTCTTCTTTCTTGGGTTCAAAGCCCAGGGCTCTCATGGCCACCTACAACAAAAACAGGATGTCAACACATACATGTAAAGCCAGCAGGAGCAAGAATGACAATGTTGACAGTAGTAAGCCAGCATCTGACGCAACACCAGAGAAAGGACCGGAGAACACTACAACATCAATCTACCTGATCCCTGCCATCAGTGTTGTGTAATAGTACTGGAGGTGAGTACAGACAGGGGAACAGAGCCTGGTGCCTCTTCCCCTGTTACTTTCTGCAGGGAGGAGAAGGTAAAGGGGCAGAGCAGCGACAGGGGAACACGAGGGCGAGGCAGAGGGAAGGCAAGGCAGGACCTCAGGAATGTGCAGAGCTTGCCTTCAGTTCCTTAACATCTATGGATCCAGTTCCATCAGCATCGAAGAGGTCGAAAGCTTCCCGGATTTCCTGTCTCTGCTCTGCAGTAAGCTCTGGCTTTGGGCTCATCCTTTTTCGCTGGGAACTTGAGGCCATGTTTGCTTTCTTAAAGTTGGAGGCCTTTAGACAGTGAAAAAAAAATGAACACAATATGATGTTATGATGTTATGTAGTGCATATTTTATGTAAGATAGTTACAGATACTCATTTCTATTCTTTTTTGGGGAAAAATTTTTGTTATAGGGCACATGCGCTAACTAAAGAGACAGAGAGAGACAGAAAGCGAGAAATCACCCCCCAGGGGGACGGCCACACCAAAATTCCTTCTCCTCCATTCTCCTCTTGGGATTTTGGGCAGGCAGACGCATGCACGCACACGGGCACACACGCACACAGTGCGCCTGGTGTGAGTTTCAGGCAACCAGGTCCGGAACTTGAGCCACAGTCAAATACGTGAGAGTCCAATGTCTTAACCACTACACCACCTGCTGGCCCCCCATCCCATTTCTACTTTTTAAAAATAATTACCTTATTTAACTTTATTTATTTATGTATTTTAATTAGACGAGAGAGAGACAGAGTGAGAGAGAGTGAAAGCAAGAAAGCAAGTGCCAGGTCTGGGACTTGAACTACGGTCAGTCATGTGGGAGACCAGCACCCTAAACCACCACACCACCTGCTGCCCCCCCCCCATTTCTAAATTTTCAAACGACTCATACAAACCAATTCCAAATCTTTGCTTAACTCAAGATAGCAGGGAAAAAAATATTTCTATGAATTCTCATTCCTCTCTCTCCTTCACTATTGTTTCTAGAAGCAAGGAGACCCTTGCTCTGCTGGACAGCTCTTAATGGAAATCATTCCAGAAGAGAGGCAGCCAAAGAACTGACCAGAGAAAAGCAGCTCTTCCTGAAAGCAAGGACCCTGGTTCTGGAAACATCCCAACAACGCCCACTCGCGGTGCTCTGCTTCCCAGTGAGTACTCGGACTCTCTGATCACTTCGAGATTTGGTCAGAATTATTACGCTGTTGAGAGGTATAACGTCAGTACCGAGTACTAACAACTCCGGCATCTTCGTGCCTTCTCCAAAAAGCTAAACGCACCTCCCTCACGCTTAAATTGTAAAACACATGTGAACAATCAGCACCTAATAAACCTCCTCCCAGGCCTGTGCGGAAACTTGTCAGAGCGAGACGACCTGGAGGCCAGGGTCCAAGAAGGGCTGGAGCCTGCGGGGAGCCAGTTTCCTCTGCCAAAGGAGGGTCGGAGGGGCCCGAGAAGGCCAGGGGAGGCCGAGGGGCGAGCGCGACAGGCGGCGGGTGTAGCGCAGGCCCAGCAGGGAAGCTGGCGTCTCTACCCTACCCTTCCCGGAAGAGCTCAAAAGCAGGACCGGTGAGCCAAAGCGCAGCCAG